AAGCATGGGAGTGAGTAGACGGTATTTCCTTCTAACCAGGCTTAGCTCGGCTCACCAATGAGGCAGAGCTAGGGTTTCAGAGACCACCAGTCAACACTTCCTCCTTCCTATGCCCTTCCCAGAAAACACCTCATACACTCCCATTCTCCCAGCCTAATTAACCTGATTAATGTTTATTGAGGCTTAGTGAATGAGAAACTCTATATGCCTCACACAGGGGGTGAAGAAAGTGAGCAAACAAGTGTTTCTTTGATGCAGAACTTCAATTACTCACATAAGCTTATGTCTGTCTAATAATATTTTAATAAAGATGCCAGATAAACCTGAGCTAAATGACAATTTAAAAACCTGCTCCGAGTACACAAATATATTAAGTACTAATATATCTGCCACATGCAAGAACAAAGTAATTTGTATTGTAATATCCCAGGACTGTGTATGCATCAGATTTTCTGTCTGGCAAGGTGAAGGGAGCATTTTGGATGAAAGTTGTGTCTATTTAAGAGACAAATTCAAAGACTACCCAGGGATTGTAGAAATTTACTTTTATTCACAAAAACAGAGGCTATTAACTTTATAAGTAAAGCAAAATATTCTGGCTCATTTTAAGCAAGTCAGGGTGCCTTTTGGTTTTTTGTTTGTTTTGGTGGAAACAGGCTTTTATTTTTTTTATAATAAATTTATTTTTTATTGGTGTTCAATTTGCCAACATACAGAATAACACCCAGTGCTCATCCCGTCAAGTGTCCCCCACAGTGCCTGTCACCCATTCACCCCCACCCCCCGACCTCCTCCCCTTCCACCACCCCTAGTTCGTTTCCCAGAGTTAGGAGTCATTATGTTCTGTAACCCTTTCTGATATTTCCCACACATTTCTTCTCCCTTCCCTTATATTCCCTTTCACTATTATTCATATTCCCCAAATGAATGACAACATACACTGTTTATCTTTCTCCGATTGACTCATTTCACTCAGCGTAATACCCTCCAGTTCCATCCACGTTGAAGCAAATGGTGGGTATTTGTCATTTCTAATGGCTGAGTGATATTCCATTGTATACATAAACCACATCTTCTTTATCCATTCATCTTTCGATGGACACCGAGGCTCCTTCCACAGTTGGGCTATTGTGGACATTGCTGCTAGAAACATTAGGGTGCAGGTGTCCCAGCATTTCATTGCATCTGCATCTTTGGGGTAAATCTCCAACAGTGCAATTGCTGGGTCATAGGGCAGGTCTATTTTTAACTCTTTGAGGAACCTCCACACAGTTTTCCAGAGTGGCTGCACCAGTTCACATTCCCACCAACAGTGTAAGAGGCTTCCCTTTTCTCCGCATCCTCTCCAACATTTGTGGTTTCCTGCCTTGTTAATTTTCCCCATTCTCACTGGTGTGAGGTGGTATCTCATTGTGGTTTTGATCTGTATTTCCCTGATGGCAAGTGAGGCAGAGCATTTTCTCATGTGCATGTTGGCCATGTCTATGTCTTCCTCTGTGAGATTTCTCTTCACGTCTTTTGCCCATTTCATGATTGGATTGTTTGTTTCTTTGGTGTTGAGTTTAAGAAGTTCTTTATAGATCTTGGAAACTAGCCCTTTATCTGATACGTCATTTGCAAATATCTTCTCCCATTCTGTAGGTTGTCTTTGAGTTTTGTTGACTGTATCCTTTGCTGTGCAAAAGCTTCTTATCTTGATGAAGTCCCAATAGTTCATTTTTGCTTTTGTTTCTCTTGCCTTTGTGGATGTATCTTGCAAGAAGTTACTGTGGCCAAGTTCAAAAAGGGTGTTGCCTGTGTTCTTCTCTAGGATTTTGATGGAATCTTGTCTCACATTTAGATCTTTCATCCATTTTGAGTTTATCTTTGTGTATGGTGCAAGAGAGTGGTCTAGTTTCATTCTTCTGCATGTGGATGTCCAATTTTCCCAGCACCATTTATTGAAGAGACTGTCTTTCTTCCAGTGGATCGTCTTTCCTCCTTTATCGAATATTAGTTGATCATAAAGTTCAGGGTCTACTTCTGGGTTCTCTATTCTGTTCCATTGATCTATGTGTCTGTTTTTGTGCCAGTACCACACTGTCTTGATGACCACAGCTTTGTAGTACAACCTGAAATCTGGCATTGTGATGCCCCCGGATATGGTTTTCTTTTTTAAAATTCCCCTGGCTATTTGGGGTCCTTTCTGATTCCACACAAATCTTAAAATAATTTGTTCTAACCCTCTGAACAAAGTCCATGGTATTTTGATAGGGATTGCATTAAACGTGTAAATTTCCCTGGGTAACATTGACATTTTCACAATATTAATTCTGCCAATCCATGAGTATGGATTTTAGGGTATAGATCCTTTACCTCTTTGGTTAGGTTTATTCCTAGGTATCTTATGCTTTTGGGGGCAATTGTAAATGAGACTGACTCCTTAATTTCTCTTTCTTCAGTCTCATTGTTAGTGTATAGAAATGCCACTGATTTCTGGGCATTGATTTTGTATCCTGCCATGCTACCAAATTGCTGTGTGAGTTCTAGAAATCTTGGGGTGTTTGTTTGTTTTTGAGATATAACTGACATACATTATATTAGTTTCAGGTATACAACACGATGATTTGATATTTGTATATATTGTGACATGATCACCATGATAAGATTAGTTAACATCCATCACCACACATGGCTATAAATTTTCTTTGATAAGAACTTTAAACTTATGTATAAAGAAGATGTGGTCTATGTGTACAATGGAATATTCCTCAGCCATTAGATACGACGAATACCCACCATTTGCTTCAACATGGATAGAACTGGAGGGTATTATGCTAGGTAAGTCAATCGGACAAGGACAAACATTATATGGTCTCATTCATTTGGGGAATATAAAAAATAGTGGAAGGGAATAAAAGGGAAAGGAAAGAAAATGAATGGGAAATATCAGTGAGGGAGACAGAACATGATAGACTCCTAACTCTGGGAAACAAACAACAGGTAGTGGAAGGGGAGGTGGACGGGGGGACAGAGTGACTGGGTGACAGGCACTGAGGGGGGGCGCTTGGCAGGATGAGCACTGGGTGTTATGCTGTATGTCGGCAAATCGAACTCCAATAAAAAAAATACAAAAAATTTTTGAAAAACATATAAAGATTTTTAAAAAAGAACTTAAGCTCTACTTTATTATCAACTTTCAAATATACGATACAGTATTACCTATAGTCACCATGCTGTGCGTGATATCCCATGACTTATTACTTATAACTGGACATTTGTACCTTTTGACGATCCTCACCCATTCCACCCACCCCCAACGCCAAAATGTCTTTCTACATTTGTTTCAGCCACAGAATTAAATATGCCATGTGTATGTCTCATTAAAAAACAAAACAAAAAAAAAACAATGTAATAGAGGAAAATGAGTGAGAGATTTATGGAATCAGGAACCATGGTTTTCAGCCTCAGTTCCAGTAATTACCAACAAAACTGCCTCAGGCTATTGATCTCACATCTGAGTTTTATCCTTATCTTCACCATCACTACCATCATTTTCACCTTACAGATAAGGAAATTCATACCATCTCCCTGCCCACTGTGAGATCCAGACCCAATCCTGTCTTTGAAAGTGTTTTATTATCAGCTTCATAGAGTACACATCAGACACTGATTCATTCTATCTAGCAGGAACATTTTCCATTGTCCACAAATTAATACATATCAAGAGCCTTAAAAGGTTCATACCCGGTAAAACAAAATGGAACACAGGTAATGGGTATACGGAAGTTTGTCATACTATTCTCTTTGCTTCTATTGTATGCTTGAAGTTTTCCATAAGGGTTTCTTTTTAAGTTTTTATAACTAGTTGATTCATTACTTTTTACTTCCCTTAAGGTGTAGAATGTTTTCAAATTGCTATGATTTTTCTGGTTTTCCATGTGTACAATCCAAAGTTATCTGATGAGTTTCTCTCAAGAGGTTCCTGTCAATTCTTACCAAGATCCTTCTTAAAAGGGTGCCCTGGATCTGCCCCCAAAAACAGATCAATAAACCAGAGGTCTCCTTTGGGAAGCAGGAAGAGGAGCTACCTTGGGAAGCCTGACTTTTCTCTAGCTGGTGGTATCACATCATAGGAGCCTCTATAGCTGTGCTCTCAAACTAGTCTAAGTGTAGGCTACGTAAGTTTCTAGTGTGGGCATTAAAGCATCTGACCCCATCCTTATTCTGCATTTAAAATTTGAGGTTGGAAATCATTGGTCCTCACAGCTCTTGTCTTTTCTCGTCCGTTGCTGCTAAACCAAAGCCATTCTGATTCTTATCCCATTTGCACATCACCTCCCTCCCCCTCTTTCTTTAAAAGCTTTCAAAAATCCTTTAAGTTTGTTCTAAAATTTTACAGTGATATGCTGTGGGTTGGATCTCTCTTCTTCATTCCTTTGGCAATCAGCATGTCCTTTTAATCTGAAAACTCACATCATCAGCTTTGGAAGATTGTCTTGTATTATTTTTGTAAGTTCCTGCCATCAGTCTTTGTTCTCTCGGTTAGGAACTCTTATCAGACAGATGCTGAACCTTTGAGAGTAATCTTCGCTGTCTCCTATCATTCTTTCACATTCTCAGTATTTTTGCTTTTTTGTTCTACTTTCCAACTACTTGGTTTCCTTCTTTTACTTCCCAAGATTTCCTCAACTCCATCTTTCAATTTTACTCTTCAATTTTCATCTCAGCAAATCGGATTTTAACTCCCAGGAGTTCTAATTAACCAATTGTTCTTCTCCCACAGCATGTTGTTCTTGTTGAGTAGATGTCATATCCGTGAAATCTCAGAGAACATTAAGAGTTTCTTCTACACTGTTTTCCTTCATTCAATTCACACACCTGATTTGCCATGTGTTTTATTTACATGCCTATGCGTCAGTCCGTCTATGTGATCCTGCCCACCCAGGAAGAAATAGTTACTTTCTGAAAGTGATTGAAACAAGGAACGTACTCAAGTGTACTGAAGTGAGCCAGCTCACCTTCATAGAGTCGGAGTATAAAATATATTCCCTGAGCACAGGTAGGAAGTCTTCCGTCATGTCATCTGTTAGCTCCTCCAAGGCTGTTGAGCAGTTGCCAATGCAAGCGGACACGCCCTCCAGGGGCTCCGAGAGCTCCCCCTCCAACGCACTCCACGTGGAGTACACAGGCCCGTACTCTCTCAGCTCCACGAGGTACTCTAAAGGGAGAAGACACACTAATTAAGACTTGGTGGATAATTAAGACCACCACCAGTATTACAGACTCAGTAACAACTGCAGCCAAGAGCTCTCTGCAGTAAGATGTGTTTCGTTGGCCATTCAGCCACCAAGGCTGCTCTCTTAAACACAACATTGTGTATGATTTTTAAAAAATCTCTAAAAACCCATTTTATATAGTCTGGTGACATCATAATGTCACCAGACTTCACCCCATAATGGGGATGCCATGCTTCTGGATGATGGGGACCGCCATGCCTCTGGGGGAAGTGGGCGGAGCTACATCCACCAAATATCTTCAGAAATAACCACTCGCCTACTCATACTGCGAAGCAGTATTTTAGATCAGAAAGGATGAATACCCACCATTTGCTTCGACGTGGATGGAACTGGAGGGTATTATGCTGAGTGAAATAAGTCAATCGGAGAAGGACAATCATCATATGGTTTCTCTCACACAGGGAATGTAAGAAATAGTGGAAAGGACTATAAGGGAAAGGAGGGGAACTGAGTGGTAAAAGTTAGAGAGGGAGACAAACCATGAGAGACTCCAACTCTGGGGAATAAACAAAGGGTTGCGGAAGGGGAGGTGGGTGGAGGGATGGAGTAGCTGGGTGATGGGCACTGAGGTGGGGCACTTGATGGGATGAGCACTGCGTGTTATACTATATGTTGGAAAATCGAACTTATGTAAAAACAAATGGGAAAAAAAGCAGTATTTTAGCAGCAGCGGGGGGTAGAGTTTCACATAGGTTTAGGGGGATCTTTTTAAGGGAAAGAAAAATTCAGTTGCAATGGAAAAATAACAGGATTTTAGGAAATATTTTGATATGGATATGGTCTTACATGGGCAGAATCACTCCCATTCAGAGGTCACCCCCAGCACCTTGGTGTCATCAGAATTTATTCCACATGTTCCTTAGATGTGGATGGTACTGAAAGCTATCTCTAGCACCTGCGGGCCCCATATAATACCATCAGTGGGTAGAGGAGAATGAAAGCACAGGGAACAAGGGCAAGTGTTGATTTATTTCTCTTTGAAAGAAAATCTAGCCCATCATTTGTTACCAGGATTCTTGCTATTACAATAAAATGTTGCCATTTTACCAAAATTTGTTTCTTAAAATTATCGTTCCTATGAATGAAGGGAAGTTGAATCAATGTCTTCACTTTTAAAACTAACGTTGAGAGAGAGAGAGAGAGAAGTGGCAATGCATCGGAGCTGAGAAGTGGCTGTTTGCCTGGGGGAGGCAAAACAGAAGGGCCGAGGAGCAGGGCAAAAGAAGGAGCACAAAATTATACTCTGGTCACAATGACCTCCTCCCCTCCTTGTATTTATTTATTAGTGTTTTAAGTGTGGTTTCATTCTGTCACGCCCGTATTTCTGCAGTTTGGTTCTGCTGAGCACACATGAATGTCATTTCTGCACACTGCTCCCTGGGCAAGATCAAGATCTTGACAAAGGGCTCACCTATTTCTTCTTTGATGATCCGCTGGGCTATTCGATCAATGGTTCCCAGCTTGAGTGCAAACGTATCTAAGTAGTCGCCTATGGCTGCAAACTCAAGGGGTCGACTCCTCAGCTTGTAGCCTCCGGTGACATGCTTGACAGACTCGCCCACTCTGGTCAGCAGCGCCATCCCTTGCTTCTTGTAGGCATTCAGGTCCTAAAGGGTGACACATGAACAAGCAAACTCAAAGGAACACTCGCTCCCACAGCCAGGACTTGGTAAGCCAACTCCTTCGGGTGGTTTCCTCTTGCAAGTAGAAGACTCCAAAAACAAGGTGCTGAGTTAGAGGACTGACCACCTACACAACAGTCCCCTCCCCTCGCCATCAGAAACACCAAACACACCCACCTGTGTGTTTATGTCCCAGACCCCTTTCACCAGAGCTGGACTCCTACCTTTCTAATCAAGTTCACTCACCTGAGCACCCTTTCCTTCAAACCCAACACTATTTCTAACATGATTTCTTGATGTCTCTGAGAAAAAAAAAAAAAAGTCCCTTTCTCTCATACAAAATACCCTAAGTTATCTTTAGGAGCAAAATTCTAGAGTTGAAATTCATTCCATTCATTTATTTATATCCCAACCAAAGCCATATAAAGAAAGGAGGGAGAAGAGGGTGGGAAGCAGGAAACAGTGACAGAAAAAGCAGTGCAAGAAAACCCAAGCCAACGATAGATGTGGTAAACAACAAAACACTTCATCCTGAATTTCTTGGTCTGGGCATACATGGGAAATATTTTGAGCTACAGGATCCATTGTACCTAAATTTAAAATGCATTATTAGTCTGCCAGTCAAAAAAACTTCTTGTCATTAAACTCTAAGAGAAATCTACAGCATCTTCAGGTTGTCTTATGTCACCTACTTGAATGGTGCCTTCAAAAGTGGTTCTACAGAAGATCGGGTGTGTCTGCTCCTTCTATCCACCCTCAATACAAACAGAATACTAACTCCTGGTCCTAGTAGTGCATGTCTACAGAGACATAAGGGTACACGGCACAAGGCCACTGCCTCCTGGTCACCTTGTCTGATTTAGGGATGGAGCAGAGAACAGGACCCATACCTAACATGGAGGTCGACAGCCCCCTCCCATTTGACAACCACAATCACTGGCTCCGTTCTCCACAGCGTCTGAAGTGTAGACTGTTCCTGATTTCACTTCCTTCTTGTTTCTGCATCCAAGGCCTTCACTTTGGCTCTCTTTTTAAAAAAAGATTTATTTATTCATGAGGGAGAGAGAGAGAGAGAGTAACAGAGAGAGAGAGAGAGAAAGAGAGAGAGAGAGGCAGAGACACAGGCAGAGAGAGAAGCAGACTCCACGTGGGGAGCCACGATGCAGGGCTCAATCCCAGGACCCCAGGATTACGACCTGAGCTGAAGGCAGATGCTCAACCCCTGAGCCACCCACACGTCCCTTCACTTTGGCTCTTGGTTCCACTCTTTCCTGGCTACACCTCGCTTCCAAGCAAGGCCCCAGCCCCATTAACCATTCCCTCTCCTGTCTGTATCTTCAACTTCTAATCCTTCCGTGTGTAATGCTCACCCATCTCCAAAAGAGGAGCAATTTCCTCCAGCTCTGCTCCTCTGTTTCTCTACTTCCTTTCAAAATCAGACTACCTGAGAGAATGTTCTGAAGATTCCATCTTCCCTTCTAGCCTCATATACCCTAGATAAAAAACATCCCAGCAGACACCTGGCTTTCACAGGATGGTAACCGGAACCTTGCCATTCTTGGCATTGCTTCCACAGACATTTTTTGGAGTAGGGCTAGATCCAAACGGGCTCTTTGGATTGCAGGGAATCTATTTCAAGTAGAGGCTCAGAAGACAACTCCCAGTTAACCAGTCAATGTACCGAATGAGGTTATTTAGTAGTGTCTATCTGACTGCTGCACTGCGTTGCGCCAAAGCTAAAAAATATTGATCTGAACACAGGTGATACTGAGCGTCCCCCCACCTCTCCCAGCATTACTGGCTTCTTAAAGACACTTCTGGTTGGTGATAAGATCAGACTATCACAAGAAAGAGGAATGCTTCTGTCTTCACTGTGATAGAACACATAAAGGGCTCACAAAACCAAATTACTCAAGGTGTGTTAAAAGAGGGGGAACGAGGTGGGGGGAGATAGGGAGTTCTTGTGGTATCACACAGCACACGAGATGAAAAAGTTCGGGAGATTAGTTGTGAATATACTTGATGCTACTGAAATGTATGTTTTAAAATGGTTAAGATGGTAAATTTTCTGTGTATTTTGCCATAATCTAAAGAAAAAGAGAAAGACAGGGTCATTTAGCACATTTAGCTCTGCAAGGAAAAGTGAAGTAGGGCTAGAATTTATTCTGTTTTAGAGTCAACACCCCAGCACTCACTCATGTGAAGTTGGATTGTGGTTAAGACACTGAAGGACTTTTTTTTAAAAAAATCATTTATCTGGCCCACATATAAATATCCGCTCCCACGCACACACTTTTCCTTTTTAATGTCTCCATAGATTCCTTTTGTTTCCCTTGCCTTCATAGATGTATCTTGCAAGAAGTTGCTGTGGCCAATCTCCAAAGATTCTTTATGACCAAGGGCTCACATGTTCTCTCCCTGTGTCTCTCTGCTCAGTGAGGAGGACCCAGATGGAGCCACACCAGGACAACAACCAGAAAAGTGTGTGAGGCAGTGAGTTGCACAGCTGGAGAATCGGACAGATTTCACTCTGCTTAAGAACTGTATCTGAGGATCTGTTCCCCAGCAAATACTTATTTTGAAACAGAATAGGAGTCTGATGTGTGGGGGGACGGGCCACCGGGGAAAAAAAGAAGATGAATGGGAATGTCCTCAAAGGGGCTAAAAAACATGCCAATGGTGGTTAAAAAAAAATACTAAAGGACTTTGCCATGAGATTTCCATTGTGTAGAGAATGGCACCTTTCTAAAATCTTTAACGTCAATTGATGTTATCTGAAATATTTTTCAATTATGCCATTTTGAAAAAGAAAACTGGGAAATCCCTGAGCCTTACCACCCTTGCCAACATAGAACCAACCACCTGTGGCCTGAGTATGGAAATGTGATTCACAAAGGTAAACAGACATGGCTACAAGGAACTGGCATGAGAGTCTGAGATCCCATTTCTGCATTTAGGAGAGAGTGCCTCAGACTTCCTGCCAGTTCTGCCAAAAGGGAAGTGCACGCAGAAGCCAGTGAATGACCAGCTTGGGTGTGAGCACACAGAATCTGGCAAGTGTGGGGGGCCCAAATATTTCCCTAGCAAATGCTTGGAAAATGCCCACCCAATAGGAATCTGGCTGCGGGCAAGTAACGCTGAACTAGTCACGGTCAGGCAGTCTGATACAGAGGGGGACGTGTGGCCTCCAGAGCCAGAGAGACCCAAGCTCAAATCTTAGTGATGCCACTTGAATACATACCAACTCCTTGAACTTCAGTTTCCTCATCTGTAAAATTAGGTTATGAGTAATCCCTCACAGGGCTCTTGCGAAGAGCATCCTTACCAAACACTCACCAGATGTTCCTCTGCTCTGGGCCCATTGTAGGTCAAAATGGCCTCACCTAGTAATAATATGCTATGTCTTCACATTCTACTCCCAGTTCCAGGAAGTAAAAGAACTTGGTGAATGTAGACATAGGTACATTAGTTGCAAGGTACATAGCTGCAAGGGGTGTTTCTCCTGAATTCTAACATGGAAATCATGCTGATGCAAATGGACACCAAAAAAAATAGAGCAATTTGATGACATCCACTATATCAGGCCATTCATGAAGGTAGTTCGTGAGAGATCAAAGCAGCTTTTTTTTTAAAAAAAGATTTTATTTATTTCTTCATGAGAGACACACAGAGAGAGAGAGAGAGGCAGAGACACAGGCAGAGGGAGAAGCAGGCTCCATACAGGGAGCCCAATGTGGAACTCGATACCGGGTTTCCAGGATCACACCCTGGGCTGAAGGCAGTGCTAAACTGCTGAGCCACCCGGGCTGCCCCAAAGCAGCTTTTAAGAAAGAGCCCAAAGGGGACGCCTGGGTGGCTCAGTGGTTGAGTGTCTGCTTTCCGCTCAGGGTGTGATCCCGGGGTCCTGGGATCGAGTCCCACATTGGGCTCCCCATGGGGAGCTTGCTTCTCCCTCTTCCTATGTCTCTGCCTCTCTTTCTCTCATGAATAAATAGATATTTTTTTAAAAAATGAAAGAAAGAGGGACAGCCTGGGTAGCTCAGCAGTTTAGTGCCACTTTCAGCCCAGGGTGTGATCCTGGAGTCCCAGGATCAAGTCCCACATTGGGCTCCCTGCATAGAGCCTGCTTCTCCTTCTGCCTGTGTCTCTGCCTCTCTCTTTCTCTGTGTGTCTCTCGTGAATAAATAAAAAATAAAAAATCTTTAAAAAAAGAAAAGAAGAGAAAAAAAGAAAAGAAAGAAAAGAAAAGAGAAAAGAGTGAGCCAGCCCAAAGAATGCTAATTTGGGGGAGGGAGAAGAAAAATTCTGTTCTTACCTTAGCAGTAAGGAAAACATTAAAGTGTTCATTGAAAGAGAGCACAGGATGATCTGTAATTCTTTTTAGGAATTTATCCAAAGCTTTTCTTCTGGTCTCCACAAACTCTTCTGAAAACCGATCTACAACACCTTTCACCACAAACTTCTCAGGAAGCGGCTATGAAGACAGGAAGAAAAAATATTCAGAGTAATTGATAAGATAGTGGAAAGAAAAAACCACAGGTTAGCAAATAATTCCTATGACTCATGTGCCCAAGAACATACTCCTTGCTCGGTTGGGTCTTTACGTAGTCATCAGTATATGCCTTTCTGAAACCTATAGATGGATTTACTCCATTTAAATCTGTCTATATGTTTCTTAGTTTTATAATGCAAGAAATAAAATGCTAGAGACTAGCCCCTGGATACAGAAAATAATCAGTCAATATTTAGCTAGTAAATCCAACATTGATCCCTTTGGCAGCACATATACTAAAACTGGAACAACAGCATGACCCCTGCATAAAATGATGGTCAATCCAATAGTATATCCAACAGTATAGCTATCTGTACATTGCTTAATGCATAGGTGGTATATCGAGGAAGTCAGGACCAGAAAGACAGTCTAAGGATAGAAGGCAGACAACATCGACCAACAAAAATTTATTTATTCACATTCTACCCCTGGTTCCAGGAGTAAAAGGACCTGGTGAATGTAGACAAAAATACATTAGGCAAATCCATGTATCTAAAAAAAAACCTTTTCCAAGTCAACCTTTTGTGTAGGTTTACACTCAAAAGTTCTTTAAAAATGTAATTTCCTTTGCTCCTCTTACTCAAACAAATTTCTCTGTAATATTTGCTTCAAACCAATATTGTGGGCAATTTAAAACTACCTGGCTGCTAAGGGATCTTTGAGCTTTGATCTATTTCTGTAGTAGCTTGATTAAATGCTTGATTAAAAGGCCTTCCTTGTAACTACCACCACACACAGAGAGAGTATCTGCTATAGAGCATAATTTGAAATGTTTGAGTTATGAAATATTAAAAGAACATTTACATTAAAAATTGGGCAAATGACTGGTAGATATTTTTCTAAAGAAGATCTACAAGTGGCCAACAAGCATGTGAAAGGAAAAACAAACCAAAACCACATGAGATACCACTTCGTGCCCAAGAGGATGGTCATAATAAGGGAGGAAGGAAAAAAAAAAAGGAAAACAAAGAAAAGAACAAGTAGTGGTGATGATGTGAAAAAAACCAGAATAAACATTTAAGTCCACAACTTCCTTCGGCCCCATACTCGGGTAATAATGAGGTTTATTTCCTTTAAATTTTAAACCCTCAAGAGCATGCATGCACACACAAAAACAGACACAAGGACTTCGCCAACCCAAGAAGTGGAATTCTAAGGTGTCTCGAGTGGGGAAATCAAGAAGCAATCCCAACTTTGAGCCCTTTCAAAGACTTGGAAAGTGGCAATATCAACAGCCCTGGAATGAAGCACTTGGAAGAGCTTTGGAAAGTCGGTATATTTTCCATCTCCAGAATAGAGACCATGGCTCCATGGCTCCATGCCTCCAGGGTTTATCTTCCACTTCTGCCAAGCTGTCTACTTTGGTCAAGTTCTAAAATCTCCTGGTGCCACAGTTCCTTCATGTGTAAAAAAAAATAGGTAACAATAGTGCCAGCCCCATAGGGTTGTTACGAGGATTAAATTAGCTACTAGGCTGAATGTACTTCACACAATTCCTGCCACAGAGTAAGAACCAACAAAAGTCTGGGGGGTTCTTTGTTGTAGAAGGGGCAGCAGCTTCAGGGAAAGCCACGTTTGGTTAAATGTTGAAATAGTGGTAGTGTGCAGAGAAGAGGCGAAGAGCTAATGGGTTTTTGTTTTGTTTTCACCAGATCAGGAATTCTAGAGGGCATGGTGGAAAGGCTTGGAAATGCAGAAAGAGAGGGGAGCAGAGTCAGGAATAAAATTACAGAGGCACACGGAGATAAAACGTCCAACTTAGACGCCCAATGGAGCTTATGTCTAGGTGGAATATTGGAAATGCAGGACTGGGTCAGATGCATAGGGCCATCCAGGCCAATGTTCCAGCCCAGTCAAAAGAACCAGGGAATCTATCTTAATAGGGTATGGCTGTTCTTTGGGATAACTTCTTTATTCCGATCAGTTCTTCTCCCGTTCCCTTAGGCAGCCATTCTTCTATAACCCTACACTCAAACCCCCACCTTTCATGCCAAGCAGATTAGCATCTCTCTGAAGTAGGAACCAGGTGTTAGGGCATCACATTAGTATTTCCTAACCATTCTGCTCCCTCCACAGAAATCCATCTCCCTTCCCCTTCTCAGGCTCCTGTGGACAACATACCTCCCCAACATACCAGAAAGCTGACTATCCAGGTGTCTTTGACCCCTGAGTTCACTATCATGCATGTTTTGCCATCAGTTATACCTTCTCTTCTCTGAAACTTCAATATTTCCTCCTCACCTGGTTCTCTGTTCCTGAGTCTGCAAAAATATGGTTGGTTCTCTTTCTACCCTAAAATAATAAACCCAACTGTCCCTTGATCTTACATCTTCTCCACTCTCCTCTGGGGCTCATTCAATCTTTTTGAAAGAATCATTGATCTTAACTTCCATTCCTTCCACTGACTTCTCAACCCCCAACCTTCCTCCACCCCAAAATAAAGTTGTCTTCAGTTCTGCATTTCTCCACCTTATCCATGCCCAGTACAGACCACTCTTTTAAGGATGATCGATGACTTCCTAATGACCAGATCCAGTGGATATTTTCTTGTTCTTATTTCACGAGTCCTGGTGAGCATGCTCTGGTTTGCTTATGCTGAATAGGACTTGGGAGGAAAGCCTAATGAGCAAATAAGTGACTAGGTATGCCTCATTTAACATAACAGATAATTTCCTGCAATAGTTATGCATTCTTCAGGTTTAGTACATTGAACTTTATGTTTAATGAATCAGGGAAGCTTGCTATTTAAAGGAACCCTGGAGTGAATCTTTCTGCAAACAGAATTTCCTTCTAAGCATTATTATTCCCAAATGTACATGGCTTCGGAAATTTGTTTCTTCCTATTCCAAGCCTTAAAGGGGACACACCTACTGCCAGCATCACCTTTATAATTGCCTTCTGGTTTCTTTATGCAGAGGAATCTGGGTTGCTGATAAACTCAAGTGCCTCTTTGGACTGTAACTGAGCTATTGCAAGTGAAGAGATCAACACAGCTCCAAGCACATGGTGGATGTCACATACGTGCCATTTTTATTACCTTGTAAACACTGGGAACAGAAGGCAACAGGGGAGTGGACCAAAGGCTAGAATTTCCATACATCATTTAGGTCAAAATGTTTTTTAAAAACCCTCTGGAATAAATACCATTTCACAACCACTAGAACAGCTATAAAAGAAAAGAAAAAAAAGGAAGCAAGTATTTGGAGAAATTGGAACCCTTATACACAGCTGCTGAGAATGTAAAATGGTGCGGCCTCTGTGGAAAACAGCTTGGCGGCTCCTCAAAAAATTAAATGTAAAATTAGAATGTGGTCCAGGATTTCATTCCTTGGGATGCAGCCCAAATAATTGAAAGCAAGTGTTCAAACAAAAACTTGTACAATCAATGCTCAAGTAGCATTATTTATAATAGTTGGGTTGGGGAAAAGGGGAATGAGAAGTGACTGCTTAATGGGTATGCGATTCTTCTGTGGAGAATGAAAATATTCTGGAATTACATAGTTGTGGTGATTGTAAAACACTGTGAATCCACTAAAAGCCACTGAGCTGTACACTTCTTAAAATGGTGAATTTTATGTTATACAAATTTTACCTCAATTAAAAAAAAAAGCTGTGGTGATGGAAGCAAATGACAGAGAGGAGAGGAGACGCTGTGTTGCTGGCTTTGAAGATGGCAAAGGGGACATGAGCCAAAGGATACAGGCAGCCTCTAGAAGCTGTAAAAGTCAAGGAACCAACTCCTCCCTGCAGCTTCTATAAGGAATGCAGCCCTGCCACCTTGATATTAATCCACTGACACCAATTCTGGACTTTTGACCTCCAGAACTATAAGGTAAAAGTGTGTTGTTTAAATCACTTTCTAAAAAACAAACAAAAAACATTCACCTGGAACGGGGGTGAGAGAATGATAAGGATAGAGATGAAATAAGACAGGCCACTGGGGATAAGTGTTGAAACTGGGAGGTGAGTACATGAGGGTTCATTGCACTGAATCACTCTACTTTAGTATATTTGACATTTTCCATGATGAAAACGTTTTTTAAAAACCATACATGCAAAAACAAAAAACAAAAAAAAAAACCATACATGCATGTATATGTCAGAACCTACAAAAAAAATCCTATTTGCAAAGCATTACAATAACCCATGAAATATGTTAAGGTTTAACCTTATAAAACATTTACTTTTGTATAGCACTTGATACTTTGGTAAAGCACTTTCATATGTATTCCATTTCACAATTGTTTCTAAGAAAATAACTTATAATCTGTGGAACAAAAGCATATTTCCTGTAGGTTGTCATAGAAAGCTATTATTCCGGAGTGCAAAATCTGCACAAAGATTCCAATTGCTCAATCTTGGAATGATCCAACTTCCTCTTGTCCGTATTTAAATTGCTTCAACAAATATTAACCACAAATTACAATTAAACAAATATCCAGCAACACACCCACTACATGACAGAAAACTATTTTTCCTCTCCTTATCAAACAAACAGAAAATGTTGCTCCTACAGAAAAATAACTAAAGAGCATTAAGATTAAAAACCCTCTCTCCGGGGGATCCCTGGGTGGCTCAGCGGTTTGGCGCCTGCCTTTGGCCCAGGGGGCAATCCTGGAGTCCCCGGATCGAGTCCTGCGTCGGGCTCCCCGCATGGAGCCTGCTTCTCCCTCCTCCTGTGTCTCTACCTCTGTGTGTGTGTGTGTGTGTGTGTGTGTGTATCATAAATAAATAAATAAATCTAAAAAACAAAACAAAACAAAACCCTCTCTCCATAAAACCACCATCAAGCCCGGTTTAATTCAAAGTACTTTGAAAGTTCAACCAATGTTCAACCACTTATTAACTTACCTATGAGGTAAGCTTTTTTTAACAGTACAAAAAAAAAAAAAAAGAGGAACCAACTAGAAAGTGAAGTTAGA